TTGGTTTTTTTTCATTTCTCAGCCATGTTTTTTTTGTTATTACAGCTAAGTTTTTTTTCCACAAAGCAGTAAATTTTTTTTCAGTGCCTTTCTGGCATTGTTGTGTGGAAGCACAGGAAAGAGAACAAATACCCTGGATTTTTTTTATCATCCAGCCATAAAAACTCTCTGGGAAGAGGTGTAGGTCTTCCAGCCTCAGTCTATATTAACAGAGAGGCAATTGCAGCATAAGTAATATAATAAAATAATGTTCATGTTTCTTTAATACTTTATTAATATTCAGTTATTTGTGTATTTTCTGTAAATATGGTCAGGCTTATAAAATGCTGAAATGTTTCAAGCAGGTTCTTCAGCTGACAAAAACCTGTAAATAATAAAAACTGGAAGTGGGAAAATCATTACAGTAGAATTGCAGCTTCTGACATTGGAGCATTAATCTTCACCATATTCTAGTTTTCTACAGCAGTTGCTCTAGAACTTAACTGTGGTTTCACTAAATATAAAAGCAAATAAACCAAGAAAAACAGCTTCCCATTACACTACTACATTGAACATCTGTAGAATCTCAAGGTTTTGTTCAGCTTTTATGCCAGCATCTTAAAAGTCTCCATTTAAACAGTGAGTGGTTTTTAGATCCATTTGAGCAATCCCCATGGATATTACTGAACCAGAGGCTATCTAATAAAGAAAGGTTACTCTGGTGTTTTGTGATCACCTTCAAACTTCTTCTCTTTTATAGTACCTCACATTCTTTTCTCTGTTTTAAAAACAATGAAAAACAGATGCTCAGAATTTCTCAAATGAGAAGGAAAAGAGATGACTTTTTCTATTCATGTGAATTGCTTAGTACATCAAAACTTCTTCTCTTTTATAGTACCTCAAATACTACTTTTGTTATAAATCTGTTTGGCCTGGAGAATGACACAGCTTTTCTGGCTAATATTCACTTCAAGGAGAATGACTTGCAAGTAGGTTGTGCTAACCTCTGTGTGAGTTAGCTCAGGAGTGAGAAGTAGTGCTTTAGAGTTAAGTGTTACCACATCACTTACTAAAAAAAAATGTATCTATATTGCATGGCTTGCTTGCTTTTGAATGAAATATTTCAAAAGAAAATTGTCCATATTCAGACTTACATTCATGAGGATGCAACTGTCACCCAAGGTAGCTGGTACTTCCTCATGTGTATGCTGGCAATTTCAATAACTGTCCCTCGTGGCACAGAGGCAGGACTTTACTTAATATGTCTGTAAGTATTTTTTCTTCATTTTCCATTCCATAATTGTGACTAAAATTCTGATGAACTTCACAAGAACAGTCTGCATTAGAGAGACTTACTGCCCTAAGTTTGTCTTTTTAAATAGAATTATAATTTTCCTCAGCTTGAGAGACTTCTCTAAGTTTCTCTTCATGACAGAAACACTATAGCAGAGAATATAAACTCCCAGATCCTGCTGAATGCATACTGATTGCATATTTTAATGTTTCAGGATGGGAGAATTCATCTTCTGGTAACAGTAGAAATACTAAAGCATTAAATAAATATTAATGTCTACACGCAATACTTCGTCTACTACTTAACTGATTTAATCTTCACAGAGAGTATATAGTCCAAAAATGTTAAGTAAAACCCAAAACTTGGCTGGCACCATGACTAATGTTTTCTTTATATTTACTTGCATGTGTTTACTGTTCTTTTTCCTCTAGTATTCATTCCAAAGACTCTGATTCCTTTCACAAACAATATAGAAGACTGGGATACCATTTTCGGTTGTCACAGTTGCCTTAGTCTCAAGCAGCTAAAAGGCAGGATGTTCTGCACCTTATTCAGAGATGTCAGAATTTATTATGTGATTTATAGCTAGTGTATTCATATTTAAAATACTCATTAAATAAATCACTATTTTGTTGTAACTGTATATTTTTTCTTTTATTTTCTGTATCAGATTACAAAGAAAAGGAAGTAGAAGGAAGGCATGAAATCTCTATTCTAATTTGATTAGAAACTTCTAAATAACCAGGAAGACCCTTAAAATTTGAAGCATAAAAATATGCTTTAAAAAGCAGTCTTTTTACTGTGTGAAAACCAGTTTGACTGACAGAAATTCAGCAAAATGTCATTGATCCCCTAATTCAGTATTTACAGTTTTGTATAATAAAAAAAGAAAAAAGAAAAAAAAAGCCAAACCCTCATAGCCTTTTTCATACACTATCATAACAATAATGTAACATAAAAAAAGATTCTGTATAAAGTTTAGAAACTACCAGATAAAAATATGCATAATGAAAATATGAAGCTCTTCATTGTCAAGATTTTGGGGATGAAATAATAATTATTGACATGAAACCTAGGTAAAGCAGGCTGAGTACAAAAATCACATTTTAATTTAATTGGTTTAAATTATTCATTGTGAAATAATGGCAAACAGCAGTGGGCAATGCTTGATATATAAGGAGCATTTATGGAGATGCAAATAACTTAAGACCTAGGGGCATAAATTGGTAAGCATATGTAATAATTTATTAAAAATTCAATAGGTCTGTTTATTAAGGGGTGGAAGGAGAGGGAAAACAAGGCACTGAAGAACTCTTTAACCCTAAAAATAAGCCAGTAAAAAGAAAGTGAGTAGAAATCAAAGTCAGGCAAGTTAAAATTGCAAAGAAGGTAAGAACTGTATAAGCTCTGCTGATTAGTCAGTGAAAGGTACCAGTAAGAAGTTGATAGCATTTAAACCACTCTTCTTTTTTTAATCACAAGTTTATTCAGACTAATGTTAATGGGGTAGTGGCATCAGCATGTGGATGAAAATCTGTGATCCTTGTTAAGAAATGTGTCAGGCAAGATAATGTAATGATACCACTTTTGACATTAAAATGTATATATTAGTCATTTTCAATAGAACTGCTGGAAGAATTTGCTATCAATAAATATTTCTAATTTATTCTCCCAGAAGCTTGTTTCACCTTATCCTTATTTTGGGGAGTAAAGCCCTATGAACAGCCAACTAATTTTAATGTTGCAATTGAAAAATATTCAATGTTACAGAAAAGCAGGTAATTCTATCACTAACCAAAAAGGCAGGGGGCCTTATCATGTTCAGTATTTCAAAACATATTTAACTCTGTATGTCTTTTTGGTACCTCTTCATACACAGTTTTAACATGAGTATTTTAAGAATGTGTACATGTGTAAGTGTGTATAATTAAATTACCTTGGATAAATTTGTAAATTGTTTAAATATTTAAACAATTTTTCAAATAGGGGGTAGAAAAAAGTTTGTTACATTTTTCAGGTAAATTATGAAGAATA